GAAACAATGTAGATTTTACACAATGTGTTTAATAAATTTAACTATGAAATATACATTAGAGATGAGAATTTTGCTTTTATGTATACTATGTAAAATGCTTTTCCTCCCCTAGCCATATTCATCTGCGCTAAGATGTCTGCTGTTCAGATCTTTTAGAACAGATGTATGGAAAATCTCACCATCAAGTATAGCCATTCTATTCAGATTTTCCTCAAACCAAAGTGTCAGTGTTTCTGTGACAATTGCCTTCAATTGTAACTGTATACCAAATTGGGCTAATATGTTATCTTTTACAGTGCATTGCTACTACCTGTATAAGTAAAGTTGAAAGCAGGAATATATGTGTTTAACAATATATATGCATAAAACAGTACAATTCCCCAGCTGCCTCAAGGTGGCACCACTTGTTAACTGTTAGGAGATAAACTTTTCTATTATCTTAGCATTCCCTAAACAAGTAAGCCTGCCTGGTGGCAGTCGGCCTCTGTTTTGACATATGGCTAGAAGGATATAACTCAGCTCTCTGCAATAACAGAATTAATGAGTTAAATGTGCCTTCAAAGAGAAAGTTTCTTGCTATGTGGCAAATCTCAATATCCACCATTATATTTATGATATTTCACTACAATTAACCAGCAGTCTCATGGAGTCATTTCTTGGGTTGGCTGTTCAGATGTTTTAATTAAAAGCAATATTTGATGGTGTCATATTTTCACAAGTACAGTTCTTAAACAAGAAGAAAATTTAAACTTGTTATTTCAGCAAGGAAAGGCAACTCAAATTAAATCCTTTGGTTGTTGGCCAATGTAAGCCTTCCTCCTTTGCCAAGACTACAAATTTTTTACCAGTTTGATGAGTTCTCTCTCCTTTCACTAAACTGCATATGCAAAGGGTGCATTATGAACACAAAAGAGCTTGGCTGGACACACCCACACATTCCTTTGTCAAACTTCTACATTTGACACTTCATGTAGGAAAATACAACTAAATGGATATTGTGCACATGCATTCCACATCATAGACCATTTTGCATTAGTACATGTGCTAACAGAGATCTACAGATTTCCCCTACCTACTGCATGGTGCTTAACCTCTACCTGAAACTGCTGGGATAGATCATCTACTAATCTTTACCTAAAACTGATAGGGCAGATTTGGGCTATGGTGTTTTAAATATGCAGAGAACAGACATATTTCCCATTATATTTCACAGTGGTGGTTAAGTTTTAGTAAGGGGTCTTTTGTGGATCAGAAGTAGGTGGAAAAATTTATAAATTAAGACAGGTGGTTTCTGGTGACAACTGTTCATTCTGTTATGGGATCACCTTGTTTTGAGTAAAAGTTAGTCTCCCTGAATGTTAGGAAATACTTCTTGGATGTAGCAGAAGGGCCTTTGCCAAGCTTAGGTTGGTATATCAGCTGTGGATATTCTTAAGAGAATGACCTTTGTTGTTGTTAACTGCCCATGGCGACCCTATGGATGAAACATCTCCAGCCCCCCCTGTCCTCTACTGCTCTGCCCAACTCCTGCAAACACATATTCATAGGGCCTTTGCAGACTGCCAGAAATAGTGCAAATTGAGTC